AACAGGAGCTTTGTGGGATGAGTTGAGGTTGCATACGTGCCTGTGCAATGACAGATATAAACATGTATATCATAAGTAACATTAACATTTTGAGTGTTCAGGGCAAAAGTCAGGCGTTAAAAATTCAATCAGGTATCAAGTCTTCATCTTTCAATCATATAGAATGGATTGACAAAGTACCCTAGCAAGGGCTGGGATGGAAGGTTGGTTTCTTCAGCTGCAATAAAAGTGAAATTGTGGGATTATTTATTTAGGGGATTAGTGACATCCTAGTTTTACTGAGGTTTGGACATATAATATACAAATGTTAATATCTGAAATGCACTCACAATAAAAATATTTTCCTCTGGTGTGGTCTATGTTTTAGTATCTCAAAATCATATTAAGCATACAAAAATTAACCTGACAAATATTAATGTTGATATGATAACCCTCCTAGGATCAGATGGGCTTGGCCCTGAAGCAATAACATTTCTGCGGTTTATAATATATTAAGTACATAAAAACAATTAAACGTTTTAAACCTTCTTTTCTCTGTTACTACTTTATTAGTATTAACCATTTATAATATTTTTTGTGTTTATTAGTTAAAAAAGATGAATGTATTCATAATAGAAGAGTAGTTATAAGCCAACGTGAAAATAAATGGAATATATTGTGAATTTTTTAGCGCTTAGGATGTGATAATGTGTGAATACGTGACTAGTACTAGCCAATAATGATTTTTAGGACTTACCAAATTTGACAACAAATGTAAAAAATTATGTGTTATTATTGTTTCTGTATTTTGGAAATTATACGTTTTTAAAACTTAAAAAAAAACATTTCTGCAAAAGTGAAATCAAAACCAAAAGAAGCTATTATTTGTTAAATTGTATTTAATGACAGCATTATTTATTCTTCAAGGATTGAATATTTAATTTTTTTCTATTACAACATTGCATAATATCAGCTCTATTTTTATGTTTTGAAATATAATAAATTGAAGAACTTAACTTCTAATTATGCAAACCCCTATAAACATTTCAGAGATAGCAAAAGGATTTGAATTACAAGAAAATAGATTGAAATAGAATTTTAGGAGGAAAGGATCCTTTATAGGAGCGAAAGAAATTCAACTATGAAACCAATTACTGAGAGAGTATGATGATTTAATTTGGATTTCTAGCCAAAAAAGAAAGTTGAATTTAATAGCTGAAAGGCTCTTGTCGATCCATCATATTACATCAAGACCTGCTTATCACAGATTAATGATGTCTAGAAATTAATAAGTCATTTTCAAGAAACAAACATAAATAATTAAAATAGCTAAATAAATATATGGTGATAATTGATAAAAATCAGCACTATTGGTTTTCATCATCTTCCGTACTGTTTTATTATAGTTGGCCACATATTCAGCCAGATGTTCACTTTTATATGGTTTTTATTGTTCTATCCATATATAAAATACAAAGAGAAATAGAAATGAGAAATTAGGGGAAGGGAAAAGAGAAGGGAAAAGAAAATGTAAGGTACAAGGGAAAAAAGGAAAAAAGGCATTGACTTCAGTCATCCAGATGTTTAGACAGGATTTAGCATTTTTGTCTCTTTCTCAAGTCTTTTACAAGTATGTAGAAGAGGTAGATTGTTTGATAGCATTAAAGGTATCAACTTTTGTAACTGATCAATGGTGATTTTGTCAATGCTGACAGTGTTCAAGTGGTGCTTCATTTGCTTTGGGATTGCACCCAAGGAACTATTACTGTTGATATTATATTTGCTTCCTTTTACCCCAACATTCTTTTTGCAGGTTTTGTAATTTGTGCATTTCTTCAGTTCTTTCTTTTCTATTCTGCTGTCTTCAGATATGGTCACATCTATTGTCCAGACTTCTCTCTCTTTCTTATCAACAATAGTTAAGTATGAGTTGTTAGTGCTTGTATGTTTGAATTATAAAGTCTCAGAAAACTTTTACTTCTTCGTTTTATATTATTTTGTCAATGTTGTGATTTTTCTCAATTCTTGCGGTCAAGCAGTATCTCTTGAAGATATGTCAATACACCATTGCTGTTACTTCGTAATACCATTGCTTGTAGCAGAGGTGGTATTCAGCAGCTTCTGACCAGTTCTGGAGAACCGGTAGCAGAAATTTTGAGTAGTTTGGAGGACTGGCAATTACCCTCTGACTGGCCCCACCCACATCTAATTCTCTGCCTCCCGAGTCCCAGCTGATTGGCTGGGTCTTCTTTTGTTGCCCTGCACAGGAGAATGAAGCTGGAAAGCAGGTTAGTAGGATGGGGAATGGGGATTTTGGAGTTACCTTACCCAGGAGTGGGTAGATAATGGGGATTATATTACCCTTCTCCTGCCCTGCCCACCAAGCCACACCCACCAAGCCATGCCATGCCCACCAAGCCACACCCACAGAACTGGTAGTAAAAAAAAAATGAATCCCACCACTGGTTTGTAGTCAGTCGGTGCAATTTTCTTGCAGCAGCTAACTAGGTGTTTCATTGTTTTTTCAGCATATTTGCAGATGTGGCATTTGCTATCTGTTTTTGTCTTCTCAATTCTGGCTTTGCATGCATTTCTTAAGATGTGGTCTTATGCAGCCAGAATTAGCCCCTTTGTCTTTTTGTTCAACTTCCCTGTTCATTGGTAGCTATTGTTGTTATGTGCCTTGTCCTTCTAATTGTTTTTGTGTCATGTGATACTTTCCTTGCAAAGTTTCTTTTCTAATTTTCATTTGGTTTTTCTTGTGGGCCAATTTGGTGACTTTACTATTCAATAAATCTTCATGGTGTACTGACTTCAGTGTATCTTCTTTATTGTCTTTCATATATTCTTCCAAAGCCACCCCTTTTTTTGTCTAGTGTACTTGGAACATTCCACACCCACCTATTTTCTTTGGCATATCAACAATTCTGCATGGATGAAGGCACGATTCATTCTCTCTATTTTTCTAGTCTTCCTGCCCAGGAAGTTTGACTTTGACTTTGAGTTTGACTTCTAGACTTCAGTTTACTTGATGGTACCCAGTTATTTGCAATAATTTTCTTATCTAGACTTTTGTTAATATTTCTATTGGATATATGATACCTTTAGTTTTTATTATTTTTCTTCTATTAATTGTAAGGGTGTCACATTTGCCCAATCCAAGCTCCTCTGCAAAATCTTGTCTTTATATGAAAAATCTTGTTTCTATAGTGTTGACCAGTAATTCTATTTTAGATGGTGTTCTTAAATACAATTTCAGATTATCCTTGTAAAAGAGATGTGATAGCCTGACATTTTTTATGTTTGATAGCCATGGCCTGACTTGTTCAGTATTTCTGACAGAGGAATCAGTACAATGACAAACAGCAGTAGTGAGAGTGAAACTCCTTGAAAGATTCATTTTTTCATATTAACCTCTCCCATTCTATTATCATTGACCAGAAACTGTATCTTCAATTGAAGATGGAATCTTTGATCTTTGAACAAAGTTTTTCATATTTCTCCTGACTCCTGTAATTTCTAGGCATTTGAGTATTTAATCATGTACCAGAAGTTGAAAGCTTTTTTATAATCAATCCAAGCTACATTCAAGTTCTCTTGCAGTTTTCCAGAATCATATTATTAATTAGATGGTGATCTTTTGTTCTTCTGCTGTTTGATTTGATGGTTTTCTTTCTGCTCAGATGGAAACAGCTTGTTTTCAACTAGACATTGTTGGACTGCATCATCTACCACACCAGTTATCAATTTGAAAATTGTTGCTAAGCACATCAGTCCTGCAGTTGACTAATTCTGCCCTTTTATTGAACCTTTCATTATCAGTAGGTATTGACAGATGTTAACAAATCTTCAATTTCACCTCCTTGCAGTATGGCAATGAGTGGATATAGACCAGTTAGATGTTTCAACCAAAGCTTATGGGTAAATCTTCACCTGATGCTGACTAATTATTGAGCTTCCTTGTCATTCTCTCCACCATTTCTGCTGTTAATATACATTCTTTTAGCTTCTTTTTTATTCTTATCTATCTCATTTATCCAACCTATATTTTTATTTTATTTTGTTTGTCAAACATATACAAGATAACAAGTATAGGTATGAACATAAATAAGAACAAAGGAAGTAAATACAGATAAATAGGGACAGTTAAGACAGGGATGGTAGGCACACTGGTGCACTTATGCATGTCCCCTTTAAGGACCTCTTAAGAATGGGGTTGTTGCAGGAAATTATGAGACTCGGACCTTGGAATCCAAAAATAAGTTGGTTTTATTTGCACAAACAGGTTCAGAGTATTTTAGCGAGAGTCACTTCTGAACAACTTTCTTATTGAACAGCACATGCCTGTATGCTTCTTCAGAAGGGGCAAAACACAGATATATAACTTGTCAGTCATTCCTTGGTTACTTTAAACACAGCTTTCCCCATCCCCTGTTGCTAGGCTAGGATGGCTGGATGTCACAAACCTATCTTGCTAAACTCCTTAGCTTGTGGTTTTGTTACAAGCAAGACAAGGTATCTTGGCAAATATGACTTTGTGACCGATAGATTATCCTTGTGGTTTGGCATTTCTTCTTTCTCTTGCTAATACCACATATTTCACTATATATAAAACTTGTATCATTATTTCTCTAAAATTAATATATTTTTATGTCCTGTCTTATTCCCCCCTTTGAGACTTTATTTAACAATTAAGTCTCACTTTTATGATGTCTTAGATTAGCCCTTGCTATAATAATGTTAGGCATGACAAGATTAATGTTTTTGCAAAAGTAGGCAATTACAAATCCTTCTCAGATGAGTTGAAGTTGGAAAAATGAACTTTCTTTAAACAATACGATTTATAGTTTGTTTCCCTTTTGAAGCATATTTTCAGTTTAGGTATTCTATCAAGACAGGGATGTTTGACCACACTGAATAGGAAACTCTTAGCTAGGCAACTGAGCAAGGAACATGTCGTGGTTTCCTCAACTCAGATAAACACTTTAAACATATCAGCTTTTAAAATTTGAGACCCCTCTAGGTCATCTAGTCCAACCCCCTTTTTGATACATAAAATCCTTTAAAAGAATTCAAAAGAATATATCTTTCCACCACACACTCTATCCCTAACACATTAACATCTGTTTTACTTGTTCTTATTTTCAGCCATACGTAGAGGGTCAGCTTCCGGAGTGACACCAGTAAGGCCTCTTCTGCCCCATATGTTGCCTGCCCATTGCCGGTAGGGCAGTTATAGGGGGCGCTTCTTCAAACGTACCACTCATTAGACTCATCCATGAATCCCCCAATTGACTTAAATCCCCTATATTATTTCTCAAGCTAGTACCTATGACAGGGGTCTTCCAAACATCATTTCAAAAGGAGATAACCTAATTCCTTTTATTCCTTTTGATTCTTTTAAACTTTGATAGTACTACATCTCTTATAAAGGGAATCAAACAGGAGAGAAACATTAGAACCCAGAATCCTAATACAGCAGACTTTGTTTAACCGTTCACCAACCCAATTTGCTACGCTCCAAAATTTTTATTAGGGCTAGCTCGTTTTGCACAATGTTATTTTCCACACTTCTCTTTTGCTAGGTTCCCAAGACTGCAGTCACCTCTTTTAAGGGGATTTCTACCACAGTTTGTAGTCAAATTTAATTGTATGTCCATTAGCTCCCAGAGTGCCATCCTCCACCTACGTGTAGGCCGTTTTAGAGTTTCAAGCATTGGGGCATCACTGGTATCTAGGGATTCAAGGGCTCTTTCTTTCCAAGCCTGAATTCATTCCTTCGATAGAGATTCCCCTATGTTGCTTTATGAATCTCGCTACACAGGGTCCAAACCACCTAGTGGGGAGGCTAGTATAGGCATATTTTTCACATTCCCTATACATAACTTCTGGGGTAGTCCAGTTGCTATTATTTGCTTCATGATTCTTACAACAACACACTTCACTACTTGTCACATTGTTTACTAGAACTTCGCTCAGTCCAGTCCCATTGGGCAAAACACAATAGCCACCCACAATCCAAATTTGTTGGATTCCATTAATCGCCCATATTTGATTCCACATACACATACACAAAACACACAAATGTCTTGTTGAAGCTATTTTAGGCAATTTCTTCCTCCCTTCTTCCTGTTGCACGGCGTTAAGGTTCTTTCGACACTTAGCTGACTTGCAGTAAGTCTTATATATATATCTGCAAAAAATGCTTTCTCCTGTAATAAGTTGCATAGAGAGCTTATATTTCTACTAGTTATATTTTAAGCTCAGCATTTTTCCTAAATTCTTATCTTTTGCTTTACAAATTAATATTCATTTCCCAACTCTGGCTATTGATGCTGGAGTTAGCTTTTCCCATATATTAGCGGATACTTGCAATCACACTGTAAGTCTTGGTTTTGGTTGTGTTGTTTTTTCAAGGTTCCTAAATTGTTCATGTGTTCTTAGGCCACTTTGTTCCCATTAAAAGTTTGATACAAAGTTTCTGTCCTTCCTTTCTATTGAAAGTCCTCACTCAGTGTAATTTCCCAACTCTCACCATCCAAACATTCAGTATTTACATAAGTCTCAAGACAATTATAAGATCAGCATATCAGGTAAATTTAGCAGTGAGATTTGTTGTGTGGTGGTTATTTTATGTTGGGGAAATAACATCAGCAACCACTCAGTCCTAAGTAGAAAAGGAATGTACAGTTTCTTCCTTCCAGGATTTTATCAAAACCCACTGTCCTGCCTTAAATTTATGGACAACAAAGTCCAAGGTGGTGTTTGTGCAAGTATCCCTTTTTGTCTTAAAAGAGAGACAAGGACAATTCAAGAATATATTTTCTCACAATATTGTCTGTTAACTCAGTTCTAGGCAAACCCTCCTTCCCACAGTATGGGATCCACAACAACATCCCATCTCTCCTTCCACTACTTTGGCACTTCCATCTATAAAGTAGTGCTACACAATCATGTTGGTCTCCTTTGCTTATTCCCTCTCTCGTCAATAATTGAGCAAGGTTCACATGATTGCTTATGGAGAATACCAAATTAAGGTCTCTTATGAGGATTGCCTCATACTTTAGGATATGAGAATTGGTTAACCATCTATGAGCTTGTTGAGACAGGATGTTCCTGGTCTTATGTTGGGTTGTAACCACCAATGCCCCCTCCCCAAATGTGGGGTTTCTTCTTTCTTGTACTAAGAGAGCTGTGGCAGCAATAACTTGAATACACACTGGCCTCACCCATTAATTTGGATAGGAAGGCTACTGGTTTTAAGAGATTTCCCCATATTTTTTTGAGCTAAGAACACTTTTTGTTACTCCATCACAGACTGTTACAAATAAGTGGAATGGTTTTTTTTTTCATCAGGTAATGAGAGAACTGGAGCTGTTTTAAATGCTGTTTTTAATTTTTCCATAGCTTCTAGGTTCAGCTGAAGTTAATTGTGGTTTCCATGGTTCAGTATCAAGCAATTTAGTATAAAGGGGCTCCACTACTTCAGTAAAGTCCATTATCTAGTGTTGACCATTGTCTAACAATCCCCAAAAACTTTCTCAAGTCTCTCTTAGTTCCTCAATTTTAGAAGGAGTTATTTTTCTACTCCCTTCACTAATCAAGTGTCCAATATATTTGATCTCTCTCGCTACATACTATAATTTTAAATTTGATGTGGCACGTATTGATTTTTATTTCTTGATTTTGAAATTTGAATTCTGGCTAATGTGGTATCCCAGAGGGATTATGCTTCAAAATGTCCAGGATGCCCCAGTATCCACTAAAAATTCAATTTCGCAATTTCTTGGTCCCACTTGCAAGTTTATCCAGTGTTCTTGGTGGAATCTCAGATGCAATGACTCCTGACATATTTTATTTTTCTATCATCTAATTTTCTCTGTTCCTCCCTCTCTCTAGCTTTGGTAAATCACTCACATTTCTCCATGAGAGCTTTCTCATTTCCTCGTACATACAATTTCTTTATATGAAAGTACTCTCCTTTTAATCTGGGATGCGGGTCAACACACAGACATTTACACCAATATTTTTTTTTTCTTCATCATCAACGTACTCACACATTTATATTGTAATCAGACTGCTTGCATAACCAATTTCTCACACAAAAATTTCATTTCATTCTTTCATTCTTTCTCCAAGCAAATCAATCATTACTTACAATTCTTTTCTGAGAGCTTTTTCTCACAAGCCAATGAGCTCCATTTTTTTTTTTTTACTGTTGTTAGAGAGTCTCATCCTCCAGGTTTGGAAATGATTACACACAGACACATTCACACACACAACATTTCCAGACCTGGGGAGGTTTTGTCCCTTTAAATCTCCACTTTTTCTTTCTTTAGCAATGAGTTGTTGCCACTTCCCTTTTTCTTGAGTCAGGACTCCAAGAGCCATATTATTCTTTGAGTCCACATACAAATTGAAAGATTTCTCAAGGTTGGGAAGTCCCATAACAGGAGCTTGAGATGGCAATTTTTAAAATCTCAAAAACCTGTTTTTGTTCACACGTTCAAACAAAGGGTTCCCTTTCTCCCCCCGTTTGTGGACTCATAGAGTGATTTGGCTAGCAGGGCAAAACTTCTACAATAGCCTGCTGCTTAAAAAACTCCTGTAAGTTGGTTCTGTAATTCGGCACACAGCTTGCTCTTTTTCTCATGTCCTATAGATCTGTGGCCTTGACTTATAGTATAACCTAAGTATTTAACTTGTGTTTCACTAATTGGGCTTTCTTTCTTATTGCTTTAGTGAATTTCTCACTTTTACTTGAAGTTACACTCATTATTAAGCACTAGATTTTTACTACCTGTCTCTGCCCTTATCCTTCTAGTTTGGATCTCTCAGACGACGCTGGCTTATTTTTAAAAATCCAAATTGTTCTCTATCTATCTTAGAATCTCCCAGATGATGCTGGCTTATTTTTTAAAGATCAAGATCTATAGAGACCTTCTTTCACACCTCGTTTGCACCTGGCCAGGGCTCTCATGAGCATGTTTGGACTCCACTTTTTTTTTTAAAGACAACGTTTACTGTTTAACGTGTCCCCATGGGCTCCATGGAGAACACGGCTCTAATCTTACCAGTTCCAGATAAACACTCCTATGCCTGTTTCCAAATATAACGCCAACCTTACCTATTTCTCAGTCCTTAAGGAGTTTCACGATTCTTTTTCTTTAGCCAAAATCATTTTACTATCTGCTGGGAGCTCAGGTATTTCCCAATTTATGAAATAGCAGGGTTTAAGATACGGTATTTCAATTTCTTTTTAAAGGTAGGTCTCTTGATTAAGTATTGTTCTAATTTACCCAACCAACATTTGCTTGTTTCCCCCAGATGATCCTACCTGTATTGTGGTTCCTCGATTATGTATTTTGCCATTTTTCAATGCACAAATTTATCATTCTGTTTTTACTTAAACTTTTAGTCCAGGGGAGTAGGTTTTCCTTACTCCACTGGCTCAATAACTGCTCTAAAGGGTATTTTCACACCCTTACATGTTAGAGTCACCCCTAAGGGTTCTCTCTACCTCCTGCAGCAAGAATGTTAGCTGCAACAACTACAAGAATTCCCCATTCTTGTCGAGATTCCCTAACCTGTGTAACTGTCCCTCCTCTTTGTCTTGAATTGCTTGTGCAATGAGGCGAGGGTAACTTCTCTGCCAGAGATGAACAGGTACTGCCAGAGGCTTCACTTGAATGACTAGTGGTATATGGTGCACTGTATATCCTGGCGGATTACCTTTTGCCCATAATTGATGCACATCAAACTCTGCCAAGTATCGAGGACTCAAACCTCTTGGGCCACCATTACTTGCCACATCTCATTTGGAGAATGCCTGATGACTAGTGCTATTTTATCTTCCTCAAATGACAAAGTTGCCCCCATTTTGCATAACATGTCCCAGCCCAATAAGGGAATGGGACACTCGGGCATGTATCAGAATTTATGTTCAATGTCCCTTCTATTCAAGGAACATCTCAGGGGCTTTAGAAAAGGGTGGCAATTTACAGAACCATCAACCCCTGGTATATTTGCAACATCAGCAGAAAAGGGGAGCCAACAACTTAGTAACTAAAAATCTAGATGCTCCCTATCTTCATTCAGAGCAAGGGTTCAGGGGACTGAAGAAGTTCCTTAGGCCTAACCCCTTGATCTGTTTTTGGCATTTCCTTCTGTATTCCCTGTGCTCCTGCCCTGGAAACTTGATTATTGCCATCACCAACATTGGGGAGTGGGGGGGATTATCTTCTTCATAGGGTTCAGTTTTTAAGACTTTTAATCTGACTTGCCTTGATCTGAGATCTGGGATTTCTATTCATTTGGGCCATGCAGACCCTCATGAGTTTGACTCAGCATTTGCGAAACCATTCAGGATTCTGTTTTACTACTACTTGCCACTGGTCAATATACTGGTATTGATCTGGGTGACCATTATCTGAGACAATAACAACCTGGTGGAGTTTTGAAATGATATCTAGATTAAAACTGCCTTCGGGCTTCCCGTCTTAAAATTCCTCAGCATACATTGAAAAGGTGTCCAGGGGACACTTCTTCCACCACCCATTTCTAGACACTGCCACTGACCTGTGGTGCCGGACGGTCACCAATAGGAACTGCAATGGCTTAACCACCCACACAACTCTTGGGCCTCATTAGGATTAACTGATCCCGGGCCCAGGGAGGTGATCAGGCCCCCTCTTCCAATCTCAAATGAGTGGGTCTACAATTCCCCAATATTTATACTTGCCTGCAGGTCTCTTCTTTCCAGCTGGTGTTATTTCATGACTTATTTTTGATTCCATTTAGGTTCTTGGATTGGTCGGTTGTCCACTAGATACCCCTATGGTGCCATCTGCCCCTTCCGGATAAATCATCCGTGCTGGCTGAAGGGTCAGCAAGACGGCCCCAGCTGGGCACCAGTCGGTCCATGCCGTCCTCAGCAAAATATCGCTCTAAGTCCTGGCGGAGTCGCCATAAATGTTGCAGGAAATTACGAGACTCCGACCTTGGAATCCAAAAATAAGTTGGTTTTATTTGCGCAAACAGGTTCAGAGTCCACGTAGACAGTTTGAGGTTGAAGCTGTAAGGGTTTGAGGCTGTAACAATCTAGGCAGGTAGGCATTGATTCCAGGCATTGAGCATTCTGTTGCTGAAGTCGTATTTTCTGCAATCGAGTTTGGAATGGCTTACCTTGAGTTTGTATCGGTTGTTTGCCCCTGTATTATTGTGATTGAAACTGAAGAACTCATTGACAAGATGACTATAGCAAACAATTTTGTGAACTATGCTTAGATTGGACCGCAGGCAACACAGTTCCAGATTGTCCAGGCCCAATATTTCAAGCCCGGAGTCATAGAGAATTCTATTGTAAGTGGAGGCGTGAGAAATACCTCTGAATTCACTCAATTGTGTTAAAGTGTTTTGTTCTTTGTTCTGTCTGAGCAGAAGCTGTATGTGGCTATGGTGCTTTTTGGTCTATTTTTTCTCTCAGGACAGCTGAAAAGTTAAGTGCAGATATGTTGCAATAAATAGAACACAAATAATTTGTTGCTTCTGCAATAAAACATAAAGCTAAGACAAATAGGAAGCTTGTTCTGGTACAGGTACACACCAATATAATTTCCAAATAAATTATTCACGAATATGTCTTCAATTAAATTGGCAAGACTCAAACAGTACTACTGCATAGTATCAAGAACCCCATGATTTTCATTTATTTCTTTTTCTGTTTTTCCTTCTAATGAAGTAAGTGTGAAAAGAGCAACAGCTGTTGAGAAAAAGAAAAGCCTTGCAGTAGGTGGTGGCACTTATGCTTTGCCTTATTCCAGCCTTAACAATCCAGCAATTAAGCAGCACTGAGTAAGAGATTGAATAATGATTCAAAATCAAGGGCATGAGAATAAGTGTCATACTTCTAATAAAAGACTCTTTTAGATCCATGCTTATTTTTATCAATGGGAAATTACTAGAAAGGAAAATATGTAACATAACATACTTTCATTAGAGGAAATAATAGGATATAGCTATTATGCATATGACAACTTTAACTCTGTCCAAATATGAAACATTATTATTATTATTTCCCATGAGATTTCATTGTGGTCTCTCATTTATAACCAAAGGAGTCTGCAACATCCATTTTACGGATAAATTCAGTTTATTAGTCTGACCAATTGCAAGCAATTTTTGAGTTGTCTGCTGTCAGACCAAGTCCTGGGTCATATAAACTTTCTAAAATATCCAGAAGTTCTTGATCACAGCCTCCTGAATTCCTAACTTATGATCATGCCTTCAAAGAATTCTGGTATCTGGAATCTTATATATTTAGAAAGCTGGAAAATGTGATAAAATAATTTGATAGATTTGTTCCTTTGTCATGATATTTGTTCCCCTGGAGTGCATTTATTCTTAGGTCTTTTTTGGAATTCTACAGTCAGACAAAGGTGAAGTCACTGTTTTCCATCACTGTCAAAGAAATGAAGACCTGATTTAGACATGTGGCATTAAAATAGAAATGTTCTCAACTTTTTATCTTTTATCTTAACTTTTGTATGAGATTTATTTATTCAAATGTGCCCCACTACATCTAAGAAATATTTTTAAATCACCTAATATTTTTAGTTTTTCAATAGAACCTTTTACATGAAATTGCTTTTATATTACTAATTGTGAGGCAATGTTGAATTTTTTATGTTTGCATGATTTAATTTAATTATTATATTTAGCTACTGCATGACTCCAACTTATTCTGGGCAGTATGCAATAAGACCAACAACTTGAAAACAGAATACAATAATTATAAGAATATAAAAGATTAAAAAAGTAAACAATAATGGTGGATTTGGCTTACCCAAGGCCTGGTTGGCAGAGCAACCAACAAGAGTTTTAAGTATCTTACAATATAAAAGCAATATCTCAAAAAAGGAAATATTGGGTTATGTTTGTTGATGGGAAATGCATATATATGTGTAAGTGTATTAATATTACATATACAGTACATATCCTTACATAGATATGTTTACCTACCTACATAAACATATGTACATTTATACATACATATATACATGCTGCTATTATATACATTTTACCTACTATTGTTTTGTAAATAGAAGATTGTTGATTTAAATCCCAACAGATTTAAAACAAAACAAAACTTTTAATTACTTTTTAAAAAGTGTCTCTGTACTTTCTTGTTTATTTGTCCTTTAAAAAAAAATCCAAATTGTTTTCTGATCATCTGAAGTGGAAGAATTTCCATAGTTCCACAAACTAGTAATTTTGGCTATTGGAAACAAAAGATGAAACAGAAAATAACAAAAATAATCATGCACTGCTATATTTTTTTAAAAAAATCAACAAAAAGCAGGAAGCTCTGGTTAAGTATGTATAAAGTATAAAGAATGTAAAAAGGCTCAAACTCTCCCACTGAGTATCTTTTCCCAGAAAACATCATCTTATAACTACCATGTGTTCTTTTCTTTGTTAAGTAATTTTTAGACTTTTTTAAAAAAATACTTGGCAATCCTACCGCTAATTTATTTGGGGAGATTTTTTGCCCTCTTTAAACTGTGTATTGCATATTTATTTTGTGCAATACATAGAGTGTAAAGTGTTCATATAGACCACAGGGATACAATCTGCACAAATGAAGAAATCCAAAATATCTTTTTTTAAAAGTAAACAAGAAAATGGCTTTCTAGACTTTACCTGAAGGCGTCCAGTAAAGAAAAATATGCATACCTTGTGACTGGCCAAATAATTGATTTGTCCCATGAACTGTCCATATTGTAATTTAATAAATTATAATTTATTTCTTGCTTTACAATAACAGGTGATAGAGATTCAGTCAATGTCTTCCATGAGTAAAAAGTTTTCCTTTAAAGCTTATCTTCAAAAGAGAAAAACATCTGAATGGATTTCTTTGTTTTCTCCTTTTTGTCACTGATTGCATAATGTTTAAATTAATTCTAATTTAATTCTTAAACTCATTTTTTAAATTTTATTTAATGCATAGGGCACACAACTGTGTGAAAATTCTACTTTCTTTTCCTAAAATCTTAGTAAATTTAAAGAAGCATTTTTTTCTGCCCAGAAATTATGAAATAATACTTTTGTTTGTCAGTGTGAGAATTAATATACAATTACCTGAAACAAACCTAAAAGTTTATTTATTATTTGTTTCCTCATACCTGATGTGGAAATACATGCTATTCATGCTAAATTTTTTAGGCTAATCTATGAGGAAACTATTAATTATAAAACACAACCTACAATATACATTCCTAATATCTGTTCTATAATATATCTGTTCTCTAATATATCAGATGCTTAAATAACCCAATATCCAATTTTGAATTGTTCCTATATATCTGAAAGTTGCTGCAGTATTTAAGTATAATGCAATTGTAGATCATTGTGCTAGCCTTCTTAAAATGCTTATATCTTTTAAACTTGATAAAGCAAAGCCATGCATAGCTTTGGAAAGCATAATATAACTTGATACACTTCAGGACCAATGAATTACAGAGTTAAAAGTATATAATAAATCACACTTACTATGCATCTTTGAGCACCTCAGTCTGCTCACTAATTCAACTGTCAGATCTATTTTCAGCATGCCAAAATTGGGAGTCATTTAAAAAAAACCTGACATTTCTTCAGTGTTAACAACTCACAAATATATTTTCCTTTTCATAAATATTGCTTTGCTTCATGGTACAGTGCATTATTTAATTAATGCAGGGCAAAAGTGTTTTATTTCAATGACAAGTTTAAAATTCTATGTGGTTTGCACTGGACAACATTCCATTCCATTTCTCACATTGGAGGTGAAAAAAATAGGAAATTAGGAAAATTTGTTCTGAAACTGGAAAGAATAAACAAGCTCATGTAATAGTCTGTTGGAAAGGAACATCATTAAAACAAACTAATTAGCAAAAATAATACTAATAATACATTCTGTAAACTAATCAATCAGTTGTCTGGCTAAGATAATCAAAAAGTGATTAAAGAGTGTATGATGCTTGGGGAACAGATAGGTTGTCCTAGACAAATTAACAGGAGTTTTAAATGGTTCTAATGAGAAACAAGGTTGTTGTTGGGTCTGTTTGCTTGCTCTCTTCCAGTGTGTCTTTGAAACTTGTTAGTGATATTGCTTGCTTTTTATTTTATAATCAGATGGTGAAAAATAGAAGAATGTTATACTATATTCAGGTTATGAAAGGATTTCTGAAAAAGTGCATAAATTAAAAGTAAAATATAAGATGACAAAGTATTTGCATTTAGGCTTACAGATTTTTGCCAAATACTCAGTTGGATTTAATATCAACAAAGTTGGTCTAGAATTATTTGATAAAATTTTGCACTTATTAGTAGATCACACATGTATTCATTTCATCAAGAAGTGTCATTTTATAAGCTTGCAAAAAGAAAAATGTCTATCTCTTGTCAAAGCTAAATAATAAACCAATACACCAATAGTTGTATTAAGATATAACAGAATATGAAAATAATGATTGGCAGTGACCATAGAACAATTGAGTATAAGTTTGAAAATTAGTCAATGAGAAAAGATTGGTTAGAAGACTGGTTGAGTTCACACATGATGCAAAGCCAGAATTTCCTCAACCAGGTACCTTCTACTCATGTGAGCCTCCAATTAATAAAAGTCCCAGCCAGCATGATGGGGTTAAAGAACAAACTTGTAGAGAAACTGTCCTAAGACACGACATGTTTTATTTGGTTCTGTCTTATTACAAACTTAGCCTATTCTTGTTCACTCAAGATTCAATGATTGCACAGATTGGATTAGAGATTCTTTTGAATGGAAACTATCAGGGTCAGTTGCTTAGAACTGAGGAAAGAGAAAACTGTAAATATGGCCATCAACTTTAATATACAGTATATTATTAAAAACTGTTTTTTCTCTCTTTATGTTACACACACACACACACACACACACACACACACACACACACTTTTTATTAAATATGTTTTCCATGGAATAAAAACAATTTAAATTTTGAATTAAAGATAAGAAAAATGGGGGAGAGTTAAAAAAAAGGAATGGCTAAAAAAGGAATACAAAATAAGGGGGGTGGAATAAAGAAAAAAATAAAGAAAAATAATAATGAAGTAGCTTTCAGTTTTCTTAATAGCAATTATAGGTACATTTATATTTTGCACTCTGCCTCAAAAGTTATATCTGTCTCCCTTTTCTGTAATCTACTCTTTCTAATCATAAAGCATATAAATCATCTTATTTTTTCAGCAAGAGTCTATAATAAATGTAGCACTTGATCTTTCCCGAAGCAAACAAGTTAATTTTGCTATATTTGTTAGATTTGTCACCCTCCTCAACCATTTCTCCTCTGTGGCTATTTCAGAATCTTTCAATTTTTTTACATACAGGTATGTTAATTTTACAGCAGTGATTATATATGGGAACAATCTGTCATGATGTTTTCCTAGTTGTCTGTCCATTAATGCCAACAAAAAAGTACTAGTTTCATTTGAATCTTAGTATTTGAATTTTTCCTTATATCTGTATATATATTTGAACTCAAAATTTTCTGGCGTTTTTACAAATATACAAAGCATGATAAAATGACCTTTCATGTGGTCCACATTTTTAATCTATATACATTCTAGATAATTTTTCTGGAGTTATATAACAATGGTACGTCATTTTATTAAAAAAAACCTTTTAGATTATAATATAATGTGAAGTTTAGTTACGTTTTCCTCTGTTCCAACAATTTATTATATTCCAAAAATTTAGCTTATTTTACCATACACTCTTTCATGTGCTCTTCTTCCATATGGTGTTTTAGCTAGAGTTTATATATTTTGTCATTTATACGGTGGACATTTGTATCTTGTTATATGCCTTAAATCTTCCTTAACTGCACATATGAAAACTATTGAAAACACAGTTGTCTTTTTGATTTCATTGTATAACACCCATGCTCTTCTAGCAAACCTCAGTGAGTTAACCATACATCTTTACTACTGTTTCTTCTTTTTGTGCTGACAATCATGAAGGCACTTTTTGGCAGAGTCTGAGTTTATACCTAATCCATATTCATTATATGGCATGTTCACATATTTTCTGATCTGAATCACTCCCTGGATTTAGTTTTAGTTTTAATATACATTATCAAATAATTAGAAAGCAATTCATGTGGTAGAATAATATCAGTAGAAGTGCAGACTCATTGCCTTGCTGAATGAATTACCAGTGAACTCAAAAGGCCATTGCTTTGCAACAGATTTCTAGATATATCCTATAATGTTATTAGTTGAATAAGATGCTGAAAATATTTTGTATTCTTGGTGCCTAGTGACAGATGATTTAAAAATATGTCTTTATTTAAAGATATGTCTCTATTTAAAGCATATACTTTCTCTAATATTGGAGTGCATAACCAAAACAAAACCTGGGATCTTATATCATGCTGGTATTTATCATAGAACATTAAACAAAAGAAATGAAAAGTGATCTTAACATGTCTAGATAAAAAAGGATGATGTTGAGAATAATAAACCTAAAGATTTCTAAACTGAAATTCCATTGTTCGTATTTTGTGAAATGTGAAATAGTAAACCAAAGTTACATTGATATTTTTTAACTATTAAATGATATTTTCCAAAACCTTCCAGGCAGTAAACATTTAAAAGAAAAATTTGATCATTACAACAAATAATACTTACTAAGTAGAGTAGTGGTTAAAGTGCAGTACTGCAGGCTACTTTTGCTGACTGCCAAGAGTTCAGCAGTTCAAATCTCACTGGCTCAATGTTGACTCAACCTTCCATCCTTCTGAAGTTGGGAAAATGAGGACCTAGACTGTTGAGGGCAATATGCTGACTCTGTAAAAACTGCTTTGAGAGTAAAGCACCATGAAGTGGTATATAAGTTATGTGCTATTCCTTATAATACTCCAGCAGTTTCTTTGTCTTGATTAAATTCTTTTCTCCCTGTCCCTTCATGATGATATGTAGCAGAATGTTAACTAAGACAATATACATAACAACTGAATTTATAATCTGTTTAAGAATGACTGGGATGCTTCATTTTTCTTGTATTACTTTAGCAACATGCAAATTGTATATGTTGTCTTTTTCTATCAAACAGTTTAGGAATCAGGCTAGAAACCAAGAGTCTGTGACTTGTAGTCCATTCCTTAGGTACAGAAGCCATCTGAGTAACTTTGGGTCAATCACTTTCTTTCAGCCCAATTTCCTTCACAAAGCTGTGGGGAATGAAGGAGGAGGAAGGAGTATTAAATATGTTTACCATTTTGAATTATGTATACAAATAACAGATTAAAATATGAATAAAAATAAAGTATTTGTCATATACCATTGTTTTAAGCATCTTTCTGTTAAATATATATAAATAATATTAAGGGAATATCACAAATCTAAAAAATTTAAATAACAATAAAGTCCTTTTCAAAAAGTATTATGCTTCCAAAATCTATTTTATTTTGAATTATTTCTAGGTTTTAATTGTTATAAAGCTGGAAGTGTGAAATCAAAAAATGACACAGGTGTCTAGTCCTGGAGAACAATCTGATTAAATCCAAAATTTTAATTTTTAATTAATAAATAACTTACAATAATGTCTTTTTCTTGATTATCTCCTTTTAGATGATTAAATATTCGGTTCAACTTGCCACACTAATTATATCTATACAAGATGTTCAGTTAAACATGACTTGTTTGGAGCCTTCCGATACAAAAAGGCCACATTGAGATCTACTCTCTTAATGAAGGAAAATTGCAGGAGAATGACTTTCAAATGTGTATTTTCTTGCTTCTCACATATGCCATAAAAATAGCAATGGCTGAAGAGATTAATCAGGAGAAATTGCTTCAGATTTTCACAAGTGCCTTGAAGTGGTAGCTTTTGACTTCAAAGGGTGAACAAGAATAAACTTCACGGAGTTGGGAGGAGCTTGCGCCGTGACGATACGGTTTGCAATCGAGCTCCTCGATTGCAGCCGATATCTTCGTTACCGGCCGGTCCAAACGGACCTATGCTGTCCCGTAGGGACAGCTATTGTGAAGAGCGTATCCTGTGGACTCCGGGGACATCGCAAAATCCCTGGATGACCCGGGAGAAGCTCTTTTTGCTGGCAGCGGAGAGGCAGCCCCCATGCTGCTGAAGTCGGGTCAGCTCCAGAAAGAACGGGTCTGAAAGAAAGTCTGTCGGTTGGGTGAGAAACTTTTTTTTTTATCTATTTTTTTGAGTTTTGAAAGTTCACTCTGATTATTAGAAGAAACCTGTGTGATTTTTTTTGACAAAACTGATTAAGTGGCGTTTTTTCCAAGGGAGACGTCAAAGCGAGGCTTTATTTGCTTTTTTTTTTTCTTTGCTACCGGACTTCATTGTTATTTACTGGATAACTGGACTGTTCCTTTTTATATTAATATAGTTTACTCTCCCTTTGGATTTTTCATACTCTTTCTTTTTTTTAAGGCTAGAGGCTCCCTTTGTTTACTTTTTCTTTTTGTCTTTTATACATGTTTATATATTTCTTGCGGGCTTTATTTTTTATTTTAATTATGCTGTTCTGAGAGGAGGGGGGAAAGTGAGAACTAAGAAACTTTGTAACACTGCCAACTAGAGGCTTGAAAATATTTTACTTGAACTGGAGAGAGATGTGAAAGACTCCTTCTCAAGGACATTTCCTGATAAGATAGAGGAAAGAGCCCTGTAGAATATTATTACAGGTGCCTTTCTGGATTCTTGTCTATAATTAAATATTTATGGTGTAGCTTTGAAGCTTGTGGGAAAGAGAAGGGAGTCATAATTAGAGCCTTGGACAACTAAGCAGAGTGCAGTGTATTGTTGCCTACTTTCCTTTTCTAATCTTTTTTTTAGTTCCGCCACCCTCTCCACCAGCATTAATCTATATTTTTATTTTAGTAAGGTTTTTATTCTTAAGTTTAATTTATTTGCAAGGGGAAGCCTTTGAATTTTTCATTTTTATTTTATTTTGATTTATTTTATTTTTTTTCCTTTCCATTGGGACTTTTGCTTTTCTTTTTAATGTATATCAATGGATTATCTTTTCTTTTCCTTCTCAATTGAGATTTTTTTGGTTGGATTAAGGGCTGGAATTTGAAGAAACTTATTCTCTTTGTTCTTTGTTCTTTTTCTTTTTTTGGCTTTAGTCTTGTTTATTATTATTATTACTGGGTTTTTATTTTTATTTTTATTTTTTCTTGTGGATTACTTTTTAATTGGATTAAGGTCAGGAAGAACTTGAAGAATTTTTTATTATTATTATTTTATTGTATTTCTTTTGCTTTTTCTCTTTTTCTTTCTCTTTTTTCTTCTTTTTCCCTTATTATTGGGTTTTTTTATTATTGGCTTCTTCATTTTGGATTATAATTGGCCACTCTTTTTTTCTTTTTTGGACTAAAATTTGAAAGAACTTGAAGAGCTGGAACCATTTAAAATGAGTAAGAAACTTATATCTTCGGGTGCCTCTGTCTCTACTTCTGCCTCCCCACCATCTGGACAGCGTTCAATTCAGACAATGTTAAAGCAAGATAAAGAAAAAGAACAAGAAAGAGTAACCTTACAGATGATTATGCAAGGAATTCAAGATCTTAAGATAAAAACAGATACCATTGAACAAAGAACAGGGAGGACGGAGGAAAAAGTGGAAAATATTCAACAGATGATGGCAAAGTTTGAGGAGAGACTTCAAAAAGTCGAAGAAGGGGGCAAACGAAGAGAGGAGAAGATTGGAAATATTGATAATAGATTAACAGTGATTGAACAAGAAAAAAGTGGGATGTTGAAGTGTGAGATGGATAGGTCAGAATTTTATCTTAGATTTCAAAATATAGAAGAAGAAAAAGGACAAGATTTGGCTGCGATAATGATAGGAATCTTGGCGGATGCCTTAGAAATAACAGAAGAGAAGATGATGGATGGAATAGATGAGATATATCGAGTTTTTACAAGATATGCGATGAGAAATAATCTGCCCAGAGAAGTCCATATTAGATTTACTAAAAAATCCATGAAGACACAAATCTTACAAGTGGCAAGAGAGAAGACATTGAAATATAAAGGTAAAGAAATTTTGGTCTTAAAACAAATACCCAGAAGAGTGAGAGAGATGAGAAGAGAATATCGATTTCTGACCAAAATGTTATTGAAAAAGGAGGTGACTTACAGATGGCTGATCCCAGAAGGACTGATGTTCACGTGGCAGGAACAGAGACATAGAATTGATTCAATTGAGAAAGCAGAACTGTTCTACGCAGAATTTTTTGGAGGGAGAGAAGGAGAGGCAGAAAAGGAGGTCTTATTAATTGAACCTCAAGAGGAACAAATGGAGATTGGAAAAGAAGAAGGTGCAGTAGGTGGACAGGTGGATATTAAAGATCAGCGTGAATCAAGACCCACGAGAGTGGTTAAATCTAAATATAAAATATAACCATGGAAGAGAAAAAACTGATTACAATGAATATAAATGGGCTGAATTCAGCTGCTAAGAGAAGGAAGATTTTTCATAAATTAAGGAAACTAAAGTTTGATATAATTTGTTTACAAGAAGTACACATTAAAAAGCAACACGAACAATTGTTAGTACAACCAAAATTAGGGAAATTGTTTACCTCTTTGACTCAATGTAAGAAAAGAGGGGTGGTTTTATATATCAAAGAGGCTATTCCAGCAAAACTGATTTATGCAGATGAAGATGGGAGAATATTAATGGTGGAAATAATAGATAACAATAGAAAGATACTTTTGACTGCAATTTATGCCCCGAATGATAAACAGGAAGAATTTTATAAAAAACTACATACCAAGATGGCTGGACTGGACTATGTTAATATAATTATGATGGGAGACTTCAATGGAATCGTGGACAATAAACTTGATTATATTGCAACAACAGCAAAGTATAATAGAAAAACTCTTCCTAAATCTTTTTTTAAAATGATAGATGAATTAACTCTAAAAGATATATGGAGAGAAAGAAATGTTAAACTTAAGCAATATACTTTCTATTCAAATAGACATTTATCATGGTCCAGACTTGATATGATTTGGATCTCAACAGACTTAATATCTAGCATTCAAGAAGTAAATATTGAAACAAGTACTTGGGCTGATCATAATCCATTGACAATTAAATGGAAGGGACAAAAAAAAAGATCGAGATGGACGTTAAATAATACTATTTTAAAGGAGAAAGAATTTGTACAATGGATGGAGAAAGAATTGGCTTTTTTCTTTAAAGAAAATAGAAAAGAAGACACTTCAATACAGAATGTTTGGGATACAATGAAGGCTTATGCCAGAGGCTTGATAATAGACTATACAAGAAAAAAGAATATTAGGAAAAGGCAAGCTTTCAAAGCCTTGGAGGATGAATATAAAAGACTCGAAAAAGAACTGCAGAAAATGCCACAGAAAAAAGACGTTAAACTGAAACTGGATATAACTAAACATAAAATGGACTTAATAGAGAAAGAAGAACTGGCACAGAAAATTAGGAATGCTAAACAGAATTATTTTGAAGATGCAAATAAGCCAGGTAGATGGCTAGCATTTAAGTTGAGAAAGGAGAAAGAGTCGAGGAAAATATAGCAGTTAATAGATGACCAAGGTCAAACTTGTCATGGCAGCAAAGAGAAAAAAGAAATTATTCATGATTTTTACAAACATTTATATAAGAAAGAAGATATTGATGAGGAGAAAGTTAAACAGTACCTGCAGAATGCAAATTTACCTAAGATACCTAAAGAGATTGAAGAAATGCTAGAAAGTAATATAACAATGATGGAGTTAAGTCAAGCACTTAAGAAACAAAATAATGGAAAAGCACCAGGTCCAGACGGGTTTCCTGTAGAATTTTATAAAACCTTTCAAGAATCACTGTCTATTCCATTGTTAGAAGTTATGAATGAAGTTATGTTAAAAAAGATGATACCTAAAACATGGTCAGAGGCCTATATTACACTTATCCCAAAAGAGGAGGCAGATTTACTTCAAATTAAGAATTACAGACCGATTTCTTTATTAAATGCAGATTATAAAATCTTTGCTTCAATATTAGTAGAAAGACTTAAAAAATATTTGAATAATTTTATTCATCCAGACCAAAATGGGTTCTTGCCAAAGCGACAAATTAGAGACAACATGAGAGTAATTCTGGATACTTTGGAATATTATGAGGCGCATCCTGAAAAGCAAATGGCTTTGATATTTTTAGATGCTCAAAAGGCATTCGACAACGTGAATTGGAGATTTATGTTACTTTTAATGGAACAGATGGGCTTTGCTAGAAGATTTATTCAGGCAATAGAAGCAATTTACAATGAACAAACAGCTAAGGTAATGATGGAGGGAGAATTTACAGATCCTATCAATATAAGAAAAGGTACAAGACAAGATTGTCCTCTTTCTCCTTTGCTATTTGTATTGACTTTGGAAGTGTTGAACAGAAATATAAGAGAAGATAAAACTATAAAAGGAATGAAAATTAAAAAGGAAGAATTTAAATTACAAGCCTTTGCAGATGACCTAGTCTTTATCTTGGAAGATCCTATAGAAACAGCCTTGAAGCTGTTGGAAAAGATAGAGGCATATGGGGAGGTAGCCGGTTTGAAAATAAATAAAGATAAAACAAAGATTTTGTCAAAGAATATGTTGCTAAGACAAAGAGAAGAACTGGCAGAATTGTTAAAAATCCAAGTTACGAATAAGGTTAAATATTTGGGGATATATTTGACGCCAAGATGTAGTACATTAAAGGAGAACAATTATATTAAACTTAAACAACAGATAGCCCAAGATCTGAAGAAATGGGAAAACCTACAATTGTCATTAATAGGAAGGATTTCAACAATTAAGATGAATATTTTACCCAGAATTTTATTTTTGTTTCAAACAATACCAATTAGGCTTGGAAAAGACTATTTTGAGGATTTAAATAAAATTGTTTTGAAGTATATATGGCAAGGAAAGAAAGCAAGGATAAAGTTAAAGCTTTTACAGGATGCCAGAACTAGAGGAGGGTTTGGCCTGCCTAATTGGGAGTTGTACTATCAAGCTGCAAATTTGATGTGGGTTAAAGAATGGATAACATTAAGGAAAACTAGATTGTTGACATTAGAAGGTCATGATTTGTTGTTGGGTTGGCATGCTTTTTTATGGTATAAGGGAACCAAAACACAGGGGTATTTTAGAAGACATTATATACGGGAGTCTCTGTGGTTAAATTGGGAGAAGACAAAAAAACAATGTTATTTGAAAATTCCAGTTTGGTTATCGACGATAGAAGCGTTTTCTTACCCTATAATTTATAAAAAGGAACAAACAGTTAGCTATGGGGAATTACTAGATGAAAAGGGTGAACTTAAATCGATACTAAAATTAGAAGAACAAGGTATACAGATGAATTGGTTTTCATATTTGCAAATACACTCAAGGTATGATGAGGATTCCAAAACAGAGGGATTTTATGATAAACAAACTGATTTAGATAAGATTTTGATGGGTACTGATGAAAAGGTGATTAAAAAATTATATGGTTACTTATTGGAAATTAAGCTGGAGGAAGAACAAGTTAAAGAAACTATGATTGCTTGGGGGAGGAATTTTGGATATGGGATTGACTTAGAGAAATGGCAGAAATTATGGTTGCAAAACTATAAAATGACAATGTCTACAGCCTATAAAGAAAACTTGTATAAGATGTTTTACAGGTGGCATTTTCCCCCGACAAGGATAGCAAGAATGTTCAAGAACAAATCAGAAAAATGCTGGAAATGTCATCAGAAACCTGGTTCATACTACCATATGTGGTGGACTTGTGAGGATGCTAGAAAATATTGGACTAAAATCCACATGTGGTTGGAAAAAATGACAAAGAAGCACATAGACTTGAAACCGGAGCTTTTCTTATTGGGAATCTTACCAGATGTTTATAGTAAAGAGTTGAAATATTTGATTGTAAATGTATTGACTGCGGCTAGGATTGTATTTGCAAAAAATTGGAAAAATGAGAACATTCCATTGCAGGAAGAAGTTATAAAGAAAATATTGGAATGTGCTGAGATGAGTAGATTGACTTTTGAAATCAGAGAGCAAGAAGATAAACAGTTTTATATAATTTGGGATCTTTTCTATCAATGGCTGAATGATGAAATACAAAAATAGAATATTTAGAATGTTAGACAATAAGGAATAATATTGATTTTATTTTTCTTTTCTCTTTTTCGGTATTGGATATTATATTTATATAATGGTTTCTTTTTTCCTTTTTTCTTTTATTTAGGATAGAACTGGTACGATTATATGATTTGTTTTAGAATAAATTACTTAAAATATAGTTATCTCATAAAGGCATGATTGAATAAAAGTATAGTCAAATTTCTTTTTCTTTAATAATGATATGATGATATATAAGTTTGTATTGACAATAAGAGTTATTATATAAGGTAATTGTAATTGTGACTATGAAATGAATGCACAAAACTGATGAACCAGCCGACTCACTGTTTGTATATAAATACGGGAGAGCTGATGTTTTTATGTTTTGTCAGTTTGTTTGTATGTTAAAAAACAATAAAAATTTTATATATAAAAAAAAGAATAAACTTCACAAATCCTGACAGACTAGTAACAGTCCAGTCAGGGATACTTTAGGGTGTTCCTGGTACTTTGAAAAAGTAGCTTCCAAAAGCTACATTCACCCTTTGCCTGTTATGATGGAAGAATCAATAGCAATACATATCTCTAGAAATAGATTTCTAAGGCTTGTTTTGCACTTCTGGCTTTCATTACATTAGTTTGAACAGCTTGCTGTTAAGCAGCCAAAATCAAGCCTTCAGCTTCTTTTTTAATATTTCAGTTTTATTGCCAGTTTTTATTTTTATCCACTTTTCCCTTAATCTTATGTACAAATTGACTCTAATGTTTCCTTGCCAGCATACTAATCATGCTTTTATTTCATTTTGATAATTGATGTTTTGTTTCCTGTACAGTGAATTTTAATTTTTAACTTTCCTCAAAGCTTGTTCTTGGCTGTCTTTTACATAACCTGAAGTAAATGTCTCCATTTCTGTGGGGCAGGTTTTATTTATCAATATCATTAGAGGGATGTAATGCATAGTGAATGGTCACTAGCTGAGGGGAGGAGTTTGGTCCAAACTGCCAGCTTGTGACCAATTAATTTTTTCATCAGTGTATCTTATAGGCATGGCCCAGTCACTGAAGACTCTGATGGTTTTACCACCAGTCAGTATAGTCCTTTTCTCATTCTCTGAATGTAATGTTCTTTAATAATCTTCTTTTTAACTTATCTATGCTTGATGTTACCCAACTGAAAATTCTGGATACTTGTAGGCTTTTCCCTGGTGTGCCTGATAATTTGGCCAATTGGGATTTCAGTTCTGTTACTGTTCACAATTTTATTCCTATATATTGCTACTGTAACACATTATTATATAATTATAAATGAGTTGTGACTTCTTTCAGTTTCACTGCCAAGAAATAAATATTTTAGGTAATAGCTGTAGCTTACTGTTTTATAGAGAACCTACTGGATTCCTTTCAATAATCTTATTTAGAATGGGGAAATCTGTAGTCTGTTTTAATTTTATTCATGCTGAGTATTGACTAGTATAATGATCACATTGCTTTTTTTGAAGTGGATTCTGATCTGTTTGGAATGTAGGGAGAAAAGAATAAGCCATCTATCATAATATTCAGCTTGTTCAACAGAGGAAAGGAAGTATTTATTGTGCTATAAAGTTATATATAACTTTTCCTAGAAGTAATAGCAAATGTTGGGAACAACGATCGTGCTGTGCTAATGTGCTTTCTTTGGGAGCTGTGCTTAAATGACATTATTTCTAAGGCAGTTTGAGTCATTTGAATGCACATGATGAAAATTCTGATGAGATTGTCCCTTTGTTCTATCCACTGATTGAGTGGTGTCAGATTTACCAGTCTTATCTGGCTTTCCACATTGAGCCTTTAAAATACATTTTATTTTATATACCATTCATGAAATATTCTTTACCACACTCACGTAAACATTATAAGAAGGGAAACTAAACTAAACTGTTACAATTTAAAATACAAAAAAAAAAAAAAACCCTCAACACACACACAAAATAAGTTGATATATATAATTTTTGGATCCTTATTTCTTTCTCTTAGGAAAGCATTTTTCCCATTTACAGCAAAAATTATGTGAAGACTTGATCTATCCTTGAATTTAAACATTAAGAGTTTGGGAAAGTGATTATTTCTTTTACAGAATCTGTGTCTATCATGTAGATTCAGGCAGTGATTAATTCATCACTGCAGAAAGGAACATTTCCTGCCTTTTAAGGAGGTCTTGGTTTGCCTCAACCTAAAAAAAAGAAATCACTTGATCCACCTTCCTGTCTCTCATCTTCCCTAGAGAAGGTGGTGGAAAAGGAAATTTCCTGTCAGTGTCAGAGAGTGCTGAATGACCATATCTGGACCCTATGTGACAGGCAGCACTTGATTATCCCTGGTGAGAGAGGGATAGGGGAAAACTAACTTCAGCTGAACCCTGGGAAGACCTAATGGCTTTGGTGCATGGAACTTCAAAATCTGGGATCTTGACATTTTTAGTTCTGGATGGGGTAGCACTACCCCATCCACCTCTGGCTCCAATAGGAATCATCTGACTCCAATCAACAGCTGGAGGTGGTTGGTAGATTAATAACAGATTCCTCCTGTCCCATATTCATCCTAATCCCTCCATCTCCATCTTTTAATTATAATTGATAATTGGTATTTTTATAGTGTTTTATTTTATTATATACATGTTTTTGTATTTTATTCTTTTTAACATTGTAAGCAACCCATTTTATGGTAAGTTGGGCACTTGGCAGCAAACAAATTTAATAAATGAATAAATAAAATATCAAGATTGGCCTACTGAGAGATTTGGTCTACAGTAACCTTTCTCAATTTTGCAAGAGTATTGATTTGAACTCACTTAGCCATGTTGAATACAGAAAATTAGAAATTATACATTTTCAGAGAACCAGATTGGAGGTTGAGCTAGAAGCTGATCACTAATTTTATGCCTACTTACAGCCCATGTTCAAAGTTAAATAGGAGACTAGAATATAATGAGTCATAAAGCCCTAATAACTCATTATACAGGTTATACCATCAGCTAAATGTTACAAACTCTGGATATAGGTGCAAGAATAATACTGTCATAAAATTTTGCTTGTAAACAATATAATTCTTGCAGACTCTTGTAAGTATGCAAGTAAAGATAAGCAAAAACTCCAGAGATTATTAGAATGACTCACCATAATTCTTTGATATTTATTTGTAGACCTGTGCAAATAGTTTTGACCACTCCTGTATTGGCAATAGTAATTCCTTTATTGATTCATAACCCCAAACTGTCAACAATGCCTATATATTAACATTCCTTCCTAGACTATTTTTTCTTTAGTCATTCAAAACAAAATATTCTTTGCAATTGCTTTCTTTTTCATCTGCAGAAGCACCAATTCTCTACAAGCATAACTCTTACAGACACATACTCATTGTTGAAATATATAATGTATCTCCATTCCCCTATCAATTTTTCAAAATGCAAAACAGTAGTATGGTTGTGTATGAGTACAAATTTTCTTTCCTCTAGCCCCCCAGAAACTGTATATAAAAATACTTCAATATTTGTAACACACAGTAAATATTTTCCCACCCCAAGATGTAATTTCATATAACCTGGAATTTTTCACAAGAAATACTATCTTTTTACTTAGACAGGTGTGATTTATCAACAGCACGTCTGCAAGAAACTAGCAGATGGAAAACAAGTATTTTGAAGCTAGATTACCAAATGGTATGAGAAACTAATGAACGAGAGCTTTCCATGGCAGATGATTCTAATGGTGGCATATTGGAGTTTATTGCAGTGACTTAGTACAAATAAGGATATGTGTCATATTTTATAAAATAAAAATGACTGTACAATATGTGGAATATGTTCAACATCACAGTGATGTTGCATCTGTAATATATAACCTGCTGCCATCGTGAATTTTGAAAAACCTTAAAGACTAATCAGTTCATCTCCAGAAGGAAAAAAAAGTTGCTTTTTCATAAATAATTTCTAAGGTGCTCTTTTTGATTTTACTGTATCTGAAGATACAGCACACATGGCTATCTTATGGATAAGTTCTCTAAGGCCACATATATTTGTAATATTATAATCAGGAAATGCCATGAAACAGACAGAAGATACAAAATCATCAATTAATTAATCAAGCAGCAGTTAAATCCAAAGATTGTATAATATTCTAGCCAGTGTTGCTGGCTGAATAGCTCAATTAAGGTCAATTGAATAAGATAGCCCTTTAAAGCTCATCAGGAGATCTAGTGCATAGCAGTTACAACATGGTCATATTAAAATAGAAGACATTACCAAAGTTCTCTCTTTTGTAGTCATCACCATAAAGAGTGGAATATAGGTTGTTGTCTTAATGTTTATCTCAGAGATCAAAAAGATTGTATGAGTGAAGACAATGTACTGGTCATATTTCCTTTAAATTATATCTATCCAATCTTTATGGAGTTTTAATCATGCAGTATTTGCATTTTCAGTTGGGTGCATCAATGTTTCATGAAGCAATTCAAGTGTTAAAAAGGAATGCACAACATACTAAAGAAGGCCTGTATATCATATAGCCCAAGGATCACGTGTAACCTCAAAACATGCTTGCAAGCCTACTGACTTTAAAAAAAGTTAATACATTCCCTGCTGCTGCCACCCAAAAGATGTGCTGCTGAGTGCCTCCAAGCCTCACTGCACTCAACAATATAGCAGTTATTCCCAAAATTTAAATGGTGTTATCATTTATTTTTTTTTGGCTTAACATGCTGTGGTTATCTAGCTATTAAAGCAATACTCAGCAAACTATATTTAAAAAGTTCTTTTCGGCCCAGGTTAATCCTCCAGCATTAAACCTATAATAAAGCAATAATGCTATTGACTGTTTTAGTCTTCCTGTTTTTCTTCATTAAATGTTTATAATATATATATAAAAAACCTGTATTGTGAAATCAGAATCAGATAGTTCTTTATATCTGAAAAGAGAATACAGTAAGAAACACCACAAGGTTTACTGGTATAATTTGCTATGGCTAATGAACTTGACATGGGATATGCTTAGATGTAATCCTGATAGATAATTTAATAGATAAAAATAAAATAAATAGATAAAACTTAATAGATAAAATATTTTGCCTTCCTTACCTCTACATATATGCAATCCTATTTGAGTTAAAGCAGTTAATCTTAACTATAGCAATGAAGTGGCTAAAAACCAAATATTTTAATTGAATGGGGCATCAATTATCTATTAGATAATTATCTGGCATGTATAAATACAATGTTTAAGTATGTATACAATGTGATTAGAAAATCCACCTGTATAAATTTCACTGATAAAAATTAGTTTGGGAGGTTGTAACTGTACTTTATAAATTTATACCTTTCTCAATGTGAAGTTTCTTAATGCAGAGTACTTTTATTTGAAATAGTTGGATGTATTCTTTTCCCCAAATTGCTAATTCTCAATATTTTTTAAGGAGAACAAGTAAAATTAATTAACTATTTACAACATAATTCTATATTAGTTTACTCAGAAATAAGTCTCACAAATTTCATTGGGTTAACTTCCAGATATGTAAACTTAAAACTGCAATATGAAAAAGTAACACTAAGCCAAGGAATTTTAATATTGTTTTAATATAATTAGATACAAGTTGCAAATAAAATATTAGTTTATCATCTGCAATGTCAGTAACAGTTATTACATTAATTTTACCAGTTTTAGCACCATTAAATGATTTTTTTTTTTTTGTGGAAAAATAAGTTCGGATTATAGACTGTAAGAATCATGTGTGATAGATGCTTAAGTGATCACCTGCAGTTGGCCTTGATCATGAAGTTGCCAAGAGTACTGGTATCAACAAAGCTATTGCAGTTTTTGCTACTTTAAGATTATACCATTTTCTAGTAATATAGGTGGCAATTTGATGATATTCGGTTACCTTCAGAAAGCAGCATAGAAAATTCATTTTAATTTGTTTACACTCTTGTCTTCAGTTAATTCATTAAAAAACTGGAAAGGACCTTAACAGGTTTTAAGTTTAAAAAACATAGAACATCCGTTCTACTTGAATCTTTTTGTTTACTGTCTATGACAATCAGTCCCAATTTCCTATGGGTGAAAGGGAGTTGAAAGTATACAGAAAACATAGTCTATCTGAGGAAATAGTTTTGAATTAAGGAAATATAAATTCTGCTTTAGAAATATGACAACTGTTAAAGTGCATGTAGATACATACAGACACATACACACACAAAAAGCACCAATTTGTTGTAGTTGTTAAGGTATTGGCTTAGAAACTTGGAGACTGTGAGTTCTTAGCCATGAAATCTGGTTAGGTGACTTTGTGCCAGTCACTCTCAGGCAACTCCTCAAAGTGTTGTTTGTTGTGGGGAAAATAGGAAGACAAATGGGTATTAGGAACATTTGTCAGCTTTCTTTTAGATAGATAGATAGATAGATAGATAGATAGATAGATAGATAGATAG